TGTGTGTGTGTGTGTGTGTGTGTGTGTGTGTGGTGTGTGTGTGTGTGTGTGTGTGTGTGTGTGTGTGTGTGTGTGTGTGTGTGTGTGTGTGTGTGTGTGTGTGTGTGTGTGTGTGGTGTGTGTGTGTGTGTGTGTGTGTGTGTGTGTGTGTGTGTGTGTGTGTGTGTGTGTGTGTGTGTGTGTGTGTGTGTGTGTGTGTAGGAGGGATTGTGGGAGGAATTGTAAGAGTATGGTGTGGAGTTACAGTATGGTGTATGGGAATTTGTATATCAGTCAATTATTTTGGAAAGTTGTGAATTAATTTGCAAGTTAATAAATTGATTTGTTATTCTGTGAATTGATTTTAAATTTTGAATTCAAATTTCTTGAACAATATAAAGTCAATTGTATTTTAATTAATTAATTTGAAAATTGTGTATTTGAAATGTTTGAAAATGATTTTTGAAGGGGATGGCCTTCCATAATGGTGTACGGTTTGTCAATTTAGTCCAACCATATGTCGGTTTACAAACACACACCATATTTCCGCCAACCATACACATTGTAACGCCACCAACATGTTATTTATAAAAACCTTATCTTCTTTTACAGAAACACGTGTACATATTTCCTACCAACAGGTGCGTGCGCCACCGAACCACAATTCCCTCTACACTAATTTGCTAAACCATATACTAGTAGTTGGTCAGCGAACGATACAAGTAGTTTGCAGACGCATGGTTTTCCGCGCGCAGTGTGCAACCTTTGACCTACGTACGTGGAGCGATAACGTAGCCTCTGGTGCATATGGCGGCCCCCGATTCTAAACCCTCCAACGGCCACCGCTCCTATTGAGCACGCTGGCGCATTGCAGCCGCACACATGCAGCCGTTAATCTCCCCCCCCCCCACACCACCACCACCACCATGCGCCGTAAGAAAGTGTACTAACTCTAATATCTCGCGAACAAATTGAGTTACATTTCTAAAATTCGAGATACATATAAACACATATCTTAGCTATGGTCGCCGTAAATATTGAGTTTATTGAACAGCAAATAGTTTAATTAATTACCAAAAATGTACGCGCGATATCGCTCATATAGGCTAATGTACACGCATGGCTATGGACGGTAGAAAAGTGTATTAACTATCATATGGCGCAAACGATTTAAGTTACAATTCTAATCTAGATACATATAAACACATGTCTTAGCTATGGTCTCTGTGAATTTTAAGTTTATTGAAGCACGATTAGTTTAATTAATTAAAAAGTGTACTATACATATAACTATACCATATGGCGCGAACGAATTGAGTTACATTTCTAAAATTCTAGATACATACAACCACATGTTAGTTTCATATAACGTTGAAATTTACATTTTTGGGAAAAATCTCACGAACGTGCGGGAATTTTAGCCTATATGAGCGATACCGCGCGTATATATTTGGTAATTAATTAAATTAAATTTAAGGGGGATTATAGCTACGACGTGTTGATATGTATCTAGAATTTTAGAAATGTAACTCAATTCGTTCACGTCATATGGTAGTTATATATAGTACTAGCGGGATACCCGGCGTTGCCCGGGAAATCAGTGGCGTTACTCAGTTTGTGACTGCTTGGTTGAAAAGAAAATACCCAAAAAATCTAACTATCTATCTATCCATGCATCCATCCATGCATCCATCCATCCATCCCCTTGCATGCCATGTCATCCCATCCCATCGCACAGCATCCCATCCCATCCCATCCCATATCCCATGCCATCCCATCCCATCCCATATCCCATGCCATCCCATGCCATCCCATTCCATTCCAAGACATGCCATGCCATGCCATGCCATCGCACCGCATCCCATCCCATGCCATGCCATGTCATGCCATACCATCCCATCCCATGCCATCCCATGCCATCCCAAACAGTAAAAAATAATAAGAAATCAAAAGATAATAAGCGTTAAAAGACAATTGAAGTCAAATTTTATAACTTCTGTAACGTTTTTATACATAGAAATACATTCATTAACGTATTCAATTTCAAATCTGGCGCCCAATTAGTAATAAACACAATAGAAATAACTGAATAGTCATCTAGGTCCTGTGACGTCACCGCCCCATGTTCAGCGACGCCACGCTAACGCACGTTCAGTGTTGTGTATAAGATGGAAACAGACGACGATAATTCTAGTGATTAATTACTCAGATGATGATGATATTTATAGTGATTTACCAGTTGGATATAGGGTTGAGCCTGAATATACACAAGAAGAAATTGAGGAAAATAGTCTGAAAAAGCAACGCAAAGATCGAGTCGGCACAAACTCAATAATCAGAACAGTCATAACATGGCGGAATGGAAGCTTCGGTACCCGATAGGAGTGTAGACAAATACTGGTGTTCTTGTGGTGTTTGTGAATTAATAAGTACGGCACCTGAATGTATAATATGCTGCCATGAGAATGATCAGACCAGGGTTATTGTAGACCAGGTGAGTCATGCGAGTACGAACTAATTCGGCTGAACAACTTTATATATCTATAGACAAGTTGGTAACGATGTGACGTGCACTCTACTGAGAAATATCGAAATGTAACAACTATATATAGGTAAGTGAATGCTGTTATCATAACTCTGTGTACTGTGTACGTTATCAACTTCAGATTGCTGATTGGCTTTGCTCTACGGTAAGATTTCAGCCTGACACAGCAAAATACCACAAAATGAGCGCGCTTGTACACATACGAGTCGCATGATGTGATAACGGGGGTTCTTAAGCAAAAACGCAAGAGTTGTAAAACAAACAATGTTCAAATGTCGCTTTGCTTTTCCATTTTTTTCAGAGCGAGACGAAAAAAAAAATTCTTATTTGCAAGCGTGCCACGCCGCGGAAACGTGTTTCTATACACGTAAGCTTATAAATTTCGCATTTATTTTTGCGAAACATCTCTTCAACACGTTTGAATCAATTTTCGCTAAAAATTTAGCGATAAAATTCGTTACATTTCGTGTAAATGACACACAATTTCGGTAGACTCGCTGTATTGATGCCCATGCCGCGCAATCGATATATACACAATGCAATTTACTTTAACTAACGTTTCCCGTATCCGTTGTGACGGCTGTATTTGGGTTTGAATACTAAATACTTGCTCCATGATGTCAAGTCACTGAATATAGCATTGAAAACGGTGGCTACGTTCGCCGATGTTGTCTCGATCGCGTCCAGTTGCGAGCAGATGAGAGCGTACTGGGCCTCAAAGAATACTATCTGGCTGTCTGTTAGTATGGAACACGTATAGGTTATACGCCCGATTGAGTTACCATTTGGACATGGATCAGTCCCAATGGTGGTGTCGGAAATGTCTAAAACGCAGCTAGTCGACCCTACACAACCAGGACTAAAGGTAGACGTAACGTCAGTGACCGTGCAAGTGGAGAGGTCCATACCCACGGGGTCATTACCGCACGTGGTGCCGTCGTTATTCGGACCATCGTAACCGTACGTCACCGTGATCGCAGATATCCGCGTCATACCACACGTGACGGTGATCGCCGCCGAATCGCTCTCGCAGCTCATTGTTGTGATCGGAGTGATTCCATCTGGAGCGTATAAGGCGCGGTATATAGTCTGATTGCAGTGCACGATGCATGATTATACATGCGTACGATGTCATCATTATAGTGTTCGATTATGATGGAAATTGACTAAAAGATTACAAGACGTTTACAGCATCGTTCTCTTACTTCCCTCTTTGGGATTATTTACTCTATATATATATATATATATCAGAAGTAGATAATAGGGATTATATTCCCTATATATATATATCAGAAGTAGATAATAGGGATTATATTCCCTATATATATATATCAGAAGTAGATAATAGGGATTATATTCC